GGTGATGTGAGAGCCTGGTCCGGTGAGAACCCGGCGTGCTCCGTCCCGGCTTTGTAGGGATGCGAGGTCAATGGTCTAACGACTACGGCATGCACGACTATGAGTACCCCCCCCCCCCTCCCCGCTCCTGACGTAAAGTTTGACGATGTCCAGGACGGCGCGACCGCCGCTGGTGGTGGCCCGCGAGGGGTAGTCACGGAGCACCGCAGCCTCCGACACCTCGCTCGCATCACCTCCCGCAAGAAGCACGCCGATCTCATCGTGTTCCACTTCAAGTCTCGGTCGGGGAGTGGGGCCTCGGCGACAGGGACGGCGGTGGCGGCGGCGGCGACAGCGTCAGCAGCGGCGAGCTCTAGCTCGAGGCGATCGCGGTCGTTGTCGGACAGCAAGGCTCACCCCGACATCCTCTTCTATTTCATGAAGGACCACGCGGACTGCCTCCGGATGGTCAAGGAGAACTACCGCAAGGTCACCCAGGGCGACGCCTCCTCCTCCTCCTCCTCCAGGCCTTCGTCGACGGCAACGGCGGCATCTCGGACAAGTCCGGGGGCCGAGCCTTCCGACGACCCCAACCGGCGGCACGGCCGCCAGACGGCGAAAGCGGTGGCGGGGGCCGCCGCCGGAGCGGGGATGCTTGTGGTCGGCGCCGCCGGGGCGGGGATGGCGGTGGCCGGCGCCGCGGGGGTCGCCGTTGGAGCGGCGTTTGCAGCCGGAGTGGCGGCGGGGGCCAGCCGAAAGGACGGCGGCCACGAGGAGAGGGAGCCGAGGTCTACCTCCCCGTCCCGGACAAGGCGAAGGGGGGGGAGCGAGGGCGCCGCGTCCGCGGGGCTGAGCGGCGAGAAACCGGAGCGGCGACGTTCCGGGGGATGGATACCTATTGACGCGCCGGGGGAAGAGCGGCGAGGGAGTGACCATGGCGGCGGCGGACAGCGCCCGTCATCATCCGTGTCCCGGTGCGCTAGCTTTAGCAGAACCACTGGTGGTATCGGGAGGGGCCACGGTGGCAGTAGTAGTCGGAGCACGCGGGGCGCGTCGAGCAAGAATCGAAGCGGGAAGGACACGGATGCTCCATCATGGCTTGGTCGAAAATAACGAGTTGTTTCGTCGCCGCCGCCGCCGGTGGAGGGGGGGCCGACAAATTACAATTTTTAAGTCTACGTCATGTGTGTAAAGACGCCGGGGTGTGCTGATGTAAATTTTTGGAGGTGGCGCCCACCTTTTTTGTTCGTGGAGTGTGGCGTGGAAATGCTGGTTGGTCTCTTGGTTTGTGGCGTTGTTGTAAATTTTAAAATGTTTGTTCGTTTGTACGGCACGGTGCCTCACATTTCGTGTCACCGCCGTGCGTTCTTGTGGCGGAGCGGCAGCAGCAGCAGCAGTACCAGCAGCGGGCTGCTGCGCTTGCAGGCCTGTCGTTTATTTTTTTCCGTGCTTGGGGTGTTTGTGTGTTTTCGCTTTTTCCCAGACGAACAGGAGACGCGTCATCCCTTTACGATCGCATGGCTCCCCACGCCGAAACAAGGCAGACATCAAGTTGTCGTTGACGCGTACCGTGGGAAGGTTTCGAAGAATAACCGACACAAACCTACTTGATGGTTGGTAAAATCTCGATGACGGACCGTGATTGCACCGAGCGCGCTGCAGGTGCCCAGGAGGCGTTGTTACTCGCCTTCCTGCGCCTGAAAAGGGTTGCCTGTAGTGCGATGTACTTGGGTGCGGCGACCTTTTGTTTTATTGGTTCAGTCCCTTCTTGTGTACGCTCACGTGTTGTCGAAGATTAAGAAAAATCTCACCTGCAACGCCACGCGTGTGGCTGTCAGGCCGTGTGACTCCCGCTCTCATGGTGCGTCCGAAGCGCATCCAAAGGTGTGAGCCGACGTCTAGTCAGATAGGACGCGCAGGCGCGCAATGAAGGGTGGCTTGTTAAGATTTCGCCGTTGCAGAGAAAGCCTTTGCAAAAAACGTCGTGGTTGGTTTTGTACACCCGCACCCCCGCGTGTGCGGGTGCGCAACTTGGTTTTAGGGAGGATGGCCGACTCTACACTCAAGTGACCGAAACTGTTTGGCTGAAAACAAAGTACTGTCCGCACCGAAAGCGTCCTCAGATTTGTTTCGCCGATTTCTTCTAGTCGCAACAGGAACTGAATCCCTTTGTAAAAGGGGCTTCAGAATAGATGGGAAGACAAGAAAGCGAATATTGGAATCGGTAGAAAACGACAGGAGCGAGACCGCCGTAGACATGATCGGGAATAATAACGGAGCTCACGCTTTGCTCGGTCGAAGACATCAATTTACTGCCGCCACGCCATCTGCGGAGGGTGGGAGATGTCATGTAACTCTCGCATGCTCAACTTATCATGCGGTCGCCTTTAGCTAGCTGCCGATGTGGTTGGTCTGTTGTAAACTTTCGAGGTTCGCAACTCAATAAAGTATGGTGCTCCTGTCGGCGTCGTAGGAGCTCAGTCGAAGCTGTACGAAAGGATCTGTGTATTTTGTGCGTACCACGAAAAGTGCGTGTGCAATGCTGATACAAAAAAAGCCGCGGTGGCATGGCAGCACAGAGTACATGCTTCCTACGCGCGCCAGTTTGTGGTTCGGGTTCTGCACTAGTTATGCGGGGGGGACCACACGCACAAAAAAAACAAATCGGAATCTATCCTATGGATTAATCAGCGTATCGTCGCCGTACACGTATAACCGGTCGGCACTTCTTACCCCCGCAGCGAGGCGAGCCTCGCCACCGAACTCAGCAAGAAAATCCCCGACGCTTCGTCAGCTACAAAAAAAACGATTGATTTCATATTTTCCCACAGCAACCAAACAGCGGAGAGCATTCATTCCGTCATGGACACACGCACGTGCCATCCAACCCTGTCTATACTGCCTGCCCTCAGATGGGCAAGTCGGCACCGCCGCTCCTTCTTTTACGTTCGCCACCCACAGCTACTGCCCTGTCATATGCATACTATAATCTACGCGAAATATGGAGGGGCTCTGAGAACCCCCATAGTTGCTTCCAGGTCTAACGTACCATGCACGGGTGTAGCAAAGAAACCAACACAACAGCAGTGTCGCCGTAAGGGGCAGCGAAGGGGCTTAGGAAGCGGAGCACCGCCTGCGGTCGGAAAAACACGTTGATACTACATACAACAATGAGGTGTGTTGCCAAGATGCGAATACCTACAAACCAACCGAAGGCGGTGGGGGTCGCCTTGCGTAAAACGGAGCAAGAAATCAAACCGGCCACACGACCAAGCGCCGGCGTAGCCCACCGCTCCTACTTTCTACGCGTGGTACATACCACAATCTATACATACCAGGTAAAACTTCGTATAAACAGCCGTGTTGAGTGAGCGGTATCACGGTCTGGTCCTCCAACTAGACCGCTCCTTTCCCTTTTTCAATCCACATCGGGCACAAGGAAGCATGAAAAGGACGACGCAACTACAGAAAAAAAAATACGGAACACGAACGAATGGGCGCCAAATCCGAACAAACGCGGGTCGCACCGGGTGTAGATTGTTGAGTCTGAGGAGCCTGGCGGTGGCCAAGCAAAAAAAACACAAAACGGCATACAGATAGAGAGAGAGGTCGACGTCTCATCTCACCTGCCGTGGCTCCTAGACTGTGCGGTACGAGACATTACACCAGAGCGCCATCGCTAATCCCCGAAGTCAGACCGCATGTGCTTCGAGCACAGGTAGGGACAAGCGGCAGCCCGCCGCCGCCGCCCAAGAGTGTTGCAAACACCACGCCAAAAAAAAACAATCGAGAAGAGATAGGGCAGGAACGAACTCGAAAATCTGTAACCTTGACTACCAAAAAGTGCGAGTCGTCACACAACCCCGGTGTGATTGGACCGACTGTTCAATGCTCGATTGCTCCACCACAAATAGGATTGAAGAACCCGACCGTTAGATCTAAGTAAAACTCTCGATGCGATGCCTCCTGTTCGGTGTGTGTTACCTCCTCGTTGTGGAGCAATCGAGCTATGACAAGTCAGTCCAGGGTATCTTGCGGTGACTCGCACTTTTAAGGTACGTCTCCGACGAGAAAGGGTACACAAGAACGGCCAGGGTCAAGATCCGATCGCCTGTCCAGCCCGCCTACAGTGCTGCGAGAAAACAGAGAGAGACAAGATAAGCGATAGAAACCGTCACGCCCCTAAAAGCGAACGCAGTCGAAGGCGAAACACAGAGACGTCACTAAATGCCAACGCTTGTCAATATTTCGTGGATCATCGCTGGTGAGGCAAGACACGTCGAAACCCCCCCTCACGCAGCCAACACTTACCCCCCCCCCTCCGTTCGTTCAATACTCAGTATAGGCTGGTGGCAAATCGTTCGCGGCTCCTCCCCCTGCCCCGTACCCCGCGGCCTGCGGAGGCATCGGCGGGACCATCGCCGGACCAACCCCACCGCCCCCCGTGACGATGCTCCCTGGCGGCCGCTTGTTGGCCGGATCGATGCCGTTGCTCTGCATGTACGAGATGAACTGCCCGGGGATCTCGGCAAGCACGTGCTTGGCGAGGGCGTGCTGCGCCGCGGACCCGAACCCGTTGAAGTCCCGAAACGGCACGAACTGAACCATGTCCCGGGAGGCCACCTTGCCGGTGAAAGGGGAGGTGAGCCGCTGGCGGTCGCCGTCGAGGTGATCCATTGCGGTGAAGTCGCCCTGGCCCACGCCCACGATCACGATCGAGAGGGGCGCGTCGGCCGCGTCGACGATGGCCGAGACCGTGGCGTCCTGCGTAGATACACACATGGATAAAAAAGAAGAGGCAGGGTTGGGACTCCGGACCTGTTGCTTGAGGAGATCTTGCCTCAGAGAGATCTTTCAGAGTGGGGGCAGAAACTCTGTGCCCTATGGAGGCTTGAGAAGGGGTCAAGAAAAAGCGGCATCACAGTCCTTATCCTACAACACTGCCTTGCCGTACGCCGCTCACCATGTCGTTGATGATGCCATCCGTCATGATGCAGAGGACGTGGTACTTTTGACCCACCTGCGAAAAATCGAGAGCCAAAACACGAAGGCGTTGCACACAAACAAATTCAGCGGATGACCTCGAGCGGCGGAGCGTGCAGGGAACGAAACATTTCTGGAGCAAGACTGAGACGCTCCTCCTTACCCTCCTTACCCTCCTTACCCTCCTTACCCTCCTTCCCTTCCCTTCCCTTCCCTTCCCTTCCCTTCCCTTCCCTTCCCTTCCCCTCCTCGACGATCTCTCTTCGATAGCGCGCTCCTGTCAGGGGTCATGTGGGTAGGTAGGTTACTGTGTGTGGGCGTGTTGGTGTTGCCTCTTCTCAATACTGCTGTAGATGGGGACAGCATACAACGCAAATGCTAAAAAGAGCTGGAAACAGCAGCATGTAGAGCAAGGAGAGACGACAGCACAAATGAAGGGCTCGAAACAGCAGCATCTAGCCGAACATGGCGCCGGTGATCGCCGCAGAGGAGCGGCGACCTCACGACGACGCGCTGGATGCACTCGTGGAGAGCTTTCCTATGCCTCAGGCCACCAACCCTGTTCCCGAACGGCGCCATTAACGACACAAATCCTCACAAACACACCGCCACCACAGGACCAAAAAAAAGGGCAAACTGGCATACCGAGTTGCGGTGCTTGGTGCTGTTGGCTATTTGCGCCGCCTGGTTGATGATGGCCTGGAAAAGCGTAGGACCCGACAGTTGAACTCTCCGTAAGCTTTGGTAGTACGCCTACATAACAACCACAAGCGGGCGCGCGGGGGGAGGAGTTCACTCATGACTGTACGCGTATGCATGCCGTGAATGTCGCCAAAGCATGTTCGTTTCCCTAGTACCTACGGGCGGAGGTCGCTACGCTTGCTTCACAGGGGAAGAAAGCGCAAGAGCATCAGCATGTGAGTTCATGGTGGCTCTGAGAACCTACTTCTACGCTGCTACCTGAGGAAAGTGTAAGCGAATAACGGCAGCGACGCAAGTATGCACGCATGTGTTGTAGTCGGCGGCATGGTGCGGAGTGACAGCTACAGTTGGAACACGTTCCCAGGTAGGAGCGTAGGTTCTCATATACGCCCGGAATTAACAGAAACAAAAATAACAACAACAACATCATAGCTCCACAAGAGTTCGCCCACCACAGCTCGTTTGCAAACCATTGCTGGGTTTCAACACCAAAACTATTTCGGCCTCCCCACAGGTCGAGTGTATTGTATGGGAGGCGAAGTGGGCAAACGAAAGAGGGGTAGACAACCCACGGAACGGGTCAAGGTTGTAGAGGACGTATGGAAGGGGCTTGACATCGACGAAGATGAAACGCTGGAAACGGAGGGTCTACAGGGGTTCAAGGAGAAGATATCTGTTGCTTGTGCCGAGAGAGAAGAACAGAATCTGAGGAAAGAATCCAAGGATAAGGAGGGTCTAGAAGTGTACGGAATGTTGAAGGAAGGAATAGGGTTCAAGGACTACCTACATGGACCAATGGATGCAGGAACAAAGCTTAAGGTCAAATTCAGGACCGGGGACATAGGCCTTCGAGAACGTCGACGAAGACATAGGACGGTAGACGAGGAAGACGACGAGTTCAAATGTGATTGCGGCTTCGAATGCGAAGACCGTGTTCATGTAGTCGCGGAATGTCCGTTGTACAAGAAGGAGAGGGAAGTGTACGTGACTGAGCTGGGAAAAATAGATGGAACGTACAGGGAGATGTTTGAGGCATGGAATAGAGAGGAAAGGACGGTAGCTGTACTGGGGCATAGGAGGTGGGTTGAAAAGGCGGGAAGGGATATCGTTAGGATAGACAGACTAGGGAAGACATTTTTGAGCCACCTTTGGCAAGTAGAAAGGACGATTGGCCATCGGTGATCGGTCCTGTGGGAACAATGCTCCGTCCTCTCGAGGACGCGTGGTCAATGGTCTAACCGCTAAGGCATGCAGAACATAAGAGTACGCCCCCCCCCAGGTCAAGGGTGGAGGGGGGAGATGCTGCTCCAGGGACGTCCAGCTTTGAGAACGCTGGTGAACAAAAAATAAGTCAACTGACGGACTCAGGAAGATGCTCACGAGCTAAACGCGTTCGTGATTGGTGCGCAGACAAGGAAGAATAACCATCCATGTTGTTAAGTCTACATGAGAGAGAGGTTCCGAGTGATCTTCGATGTGGCGACGACAACGATAAAAACAACCAACCAAAAATAACGATAATAACCACAAAGAAAAATATCAACAACAGTACCAACCAAACAACAAAACAGCACCACTCACAAAAATAAAGAAATAAAGCACAACCGCACCTCTCCGTACGAAACTTGCGCTCTTCATACATCCGAACACGGCATGCGCGGCTACGAGTACAACCTCCCCCCCTTCGTGCCATCCCCCCCTGGCCCTGTGACCCCCCCCACCCC